GGTGTTACTGCAGTGGAGTATCACTGATGAGCTTTTATTACCCCATCTCTAATTTCTGATGCAAGCTTTTCTTGCAGGAAAGAGGAAGCAAGCTGCTGTCTTTAAAGCTGTTCAGGAGTGAACCTTCTGTATTGAAGAGTCACGCTCAAGAGTAATAACTGGATTTTTATTGTACAAAAATAACCAGAGGGAGTTTTTTTGTCATTAATAACGCACCGTTCGAACACCAGTAAATCCAGTCTCCAGGGAGAGCGTGCAGCCTCCAGCCCCAGTGATTCCATGCTTGGTGATGAACTTGACTTGGCCAAGTTGGCTTCAGGGCTGTTGATGGTGATGGGTGTTTCCAGCTAGATGTGGCCATCATGTCTGGGCTGTCTTAACAACACAACTGGTTTCTTGAGAGTCTGAAGGAAGGTAGGTACCTCTCGTACTCTGAGAAGTGTAATCTTGGTTGAAATCTCTGTATGAAGTTAGTGGCTGTGTAAGAACCAGTAGGACCCATTAAACAGTGTTCACAATCAACTTCCTGATCGTAATCTGGGGAGAGGGAGCATCCAGCAAGGCACTGCCTGTCCCCAAGGGGTGGGGAGAAGAAGTTCTCCTCTCCTGGCACAGGTAAGACAGAAGCCGGCTTCTGCTAGCATGGGGCAAGGTAGAGAGGAGAGAGAGGACCTCTGCGGTGAAAGGCTTCCAAGCCCCAACGTGAAGTTTCTTGCACCTGCAAAGACAGTCAGGGCAAAATGCTGCACCCGATGTGGCACGTGTGTTGGTGGGAACACAGCAGATGAGATGCTGGGTCAGTCCCACCGTGACCCGAGTGTCACAGGCACACCCACACATGACCTTCTGGGTTCTTTTGACAAAACTGTCTGGACCTCAGTGGGAAGCAATAGAGATCCCGTTGTGATAAGTTCCAACAAACCTAAGGAAAAACTTCTTTCCTGTGAGGGTGCCGGAGCCCTGGGACAGGCTGCTCAGAGAGGGTGTGGAGTCTCCATCTCTGGAGATGTCCAAACCCACCTGGACACTTTCCTGTGCAACCTGGTGTAGGGAGCCTGCTTTGGCTGTGTAGGGAGCCTGAGGCTCCTTCCAACCCCTACCATTCTGTGATTCCTTTGAGGCTCAAGAGAGCAAATTCCAGAAATAAATGGTGAGGGACAGCCAAGCAGCCCCATTCTCCCCAGCAAGCAAGTGAATCCCCATGTGCCAGGCTGGGCTCTGCTCGCACTGGTTTTACTGGGAGCAGGGTTAGAGTTGTGTCTTTAGGTCTATCACCAGTACAACCGGCTCCTGGGCAGTGATGGTTTGCAATATACCATAGCAAGAGACCATATGGAAAAGAAAAAATAATTCAGTTTAAGTATGGGGGGGTACAGAAGTTTATTTGAGTATTTGTATTTATGTTTTTATTATATTTTAGTATTTTTATATTTATTTTTTGAGTACAGTTTCACTTTTGGGGGGGCACAGAAGTTTATTTGAGTTTATTCTTTGAAGGGAACTCTCTGTCTCCAGCTTATGCTCTTTTCAAATGTAATTTTTCTTGGACTGGATGAATTTTTTTTTTCATAACTCTTCTGATTTTTTTTTTATTTTTTTTTGGCTCACCTACAATTAGTTTTAAAAGGCTTGGAAATCACTGGAGGATTTCTGAGACACACTTTGTAAATAAGAATAATAAATTTAGAAATCCTTTGGAGATTTTATGATTTCTCTCCAGTTTTGTTGCTCCCAAGGCAGCCTCCAGCCAGCCTTGTTTCCATTCACAGCGGCGTTGTGTGGTGCATCTGAAGCTTGGCAAAGCCCAACATCTCCCCCTTTTTTTCTCTCCTTCTCTTCTTGAAAAAAGACAGCCCTGGATGTAAAAGTTGATTTTTAGCTTTGATTGTGTGTATGATGTGCTATATGAATGCTAAGCAGCCCTTATAATGCAGCCTTGTGATGTACCCAGGAAGGCAGACGTGGGCTGTGAGGTCTCCCCAGCTTCCCGTTTTCCTACAGCTTTGGAGTGGTTTGATATGGGCATGTTTTATTTATGAGCAGGCTCCAGGGTGAATATAGCCTGGTGGTAGCTGAGGGACAAGAGGAAATGGCCTCATTGTGCCCAGGGCAGTTGAGATTGGATGTGAGGAAGAATTTCTTTGCTGAAAGGGTTCTGAGGCATTGGAAGGGGTTGCCCAGGGCAGTGGTTGAGTCCCCATCCCTGGAGGGATTGAAGAGTCATGTAGACACAGTGCTGAGGGACATGGGCTAGTCGGCGACTTTTCAGTGTTGGGTTCATGGTTGGACTCGATGATCTTAAAGGTCTTTTCCAATCCAGGCAATTCTGGGATTCTGTGAAATGTGACTCCCTCAACCAGAGCCCAAACCCTTAATGCCCCAGGTCTACTACTGCTCCTACTATTGACTTTCTCTTGAGGGGAGGGAGTAACATCTTTTGCTCTTTATTATTTTTTGATGTTAGAAATTCACATATGTTCTGCCCCAAAGAGAAACCTTTCAAGCCAGACCTGTACAGGATAAAGTGTAAGACAGAGGAAAAAGAAACAGCAGAAAATGCCTCCACCCCCAAATCCAGCGCAGTGCTGAAGCGAGTAATCGAGGGAGCAGGCACGGAGGCAGAGCACCGAGTGCTGGAGGTGGGAGAAACATCTGAGGACATGGGCAAACTACCCAGGAATACACATTTGCAACCCAACCAGGAGAAACATCTGTTTAAACCCAGGTGTTTAAAGTTACAGATCTGCTTTGAGAACTTGGTGAGGCAGTTGGAGGTGCCTGGTTTTATGGCTGGAGACAAGAGGAGGTAGAGCATCTTTTGTGGGGAAAAAAACTCAGAGTACTTCCAAAGGGTGTAGGTGATGAATTTGTGACATCTCGGGTGGTCCTGCAGTGAGGTGCGAGGGTCCTGCACGGACAGAGGACAATTTGGGGAACTACCCATCTACTACTCCCTTCAGAAAGCCCACTTGAGTCATCCAAGCCTTCAGGAAGGGTTTCTGCTGGTCTGTGGGGACCTCTAGTGTGAGATCTTGCTTTGCACAGGTCCTTAGGAGTCTGCGTTTAAGGTTGGGGAGGGAAAGTGAGGTCTAGGTGAAAATGAAGATAGGCTGCATGGTTTTTCTCACATCCCTTGCTGTGAAACAGGCTCCAGGTGTGGTCACGGTGTGCACCATCCATGGTGTGTGGTCACTTCTAACCCACCATCACTCTTGGTCAGGCTTCTGTAGCTGGTTTTACAGACAGAGCTGTGTTTCATACCTTCTTGCAACCCTTCCAAATTTAACCTGTAACTCCACCTTGTGGACCAACGCTGCTGCCTTTACACCTGTGTCCTTTGGTGGTCATTCTCCTTGAAAATACAGGTGCCAACACAACCATCTGTCCTGCAGCTCCAGAAGAAATGATGGGTGCTAACAGCTCTGTGTTTGGATGCGGTCCTCACTCCACCACTGTGTTTCATAAGGCACTTTCCCCATCTGGCCCATGGTGGGGACCATGTGAACATGGTCACCTTACAGCTGGACCCCTGTCCCTGGGGTGTCTGTGCTGCTGTGGATGGTGTCTGGTTCCTGCTCCTGGACACATGTGGCTGGCATCAGCTGCCACCCCAGCCTGTTCCCTCCCCTCTCTGCAGTCCTCTCCCCTTTGCTCTCCTCTCTGTTGGCCTTTCTCAGGTGGTTTCCAGCTGGTGGCTGGAGTGGGAAGGTCTCTGTGCGCACATGGCTATGTCAGTGTCTCCTGCTGGCCATCAGGGAGCCCCACCAGGGCAGGGACCCATGAGCCATGGGGGACACTTGTTTTAGGAGACAGCTGTGGCAGCTCTCACGGGTGTCTTGGGAGGTTGCAACCAAGATGTTTTGCAAGAAAGCTGGGATTGTAGTCAGAAAATCATGACGTGCTTTTTCCTGTGCACGTGGCTTTGTGCAACTCACTTTCTCTTGCTTCTCTTTGTTCTACAAAGTGCATTTTCCTTCCTTTTTTTCACTCCCCTCCTCCTTTTTTTTTTTCATTTTCCTGGAGCTACAGTTACTCATGGGAGGTGGTTTTACCTTTTCCTCCCCTTTCTTTGCTACCTGGGAGGAGTGTGACTATTTTCCATGATTGTTCCACCTTTTTTTCCACTGATCTAGCTCCAAAACTAAGGATGATCAAGGCACTCAGGCTTCCAGTTTCCCTTTGATCAGATTGTTCTCAAGGCTTCTTTGCAATTTACTTCTGGGCAATATGCATCCAGCAAGCAGGTGGTTTGGAGGACCAGAAGTCACCTGAGTCTTCTGTAGTCTGGGGTCTTCAGTGCTAGGAGAGGGAAAAGGTAAGAGTTAAAATGTCCCTGGACAGTGAGGGTCTCCTGAGCAGGGGGTTATATTGATATTTAGCCATTTTCCTGAATAAAATATTACTAAAGGGATTTTTTTTTTTCCCTTGTCTGTAAATAAAAGTTTTAACAGAGTCTTAGCCAAAGGTTATTGCCATGTGGATACTGTTAGGCAGATCTGTTTGGGGGTTTTTGTCTTCTTTAAACAAGATGTTGTTTTTTTTTTTTTTTCTAAATAACATTCTCCTAAACTTTTGCCCAAAATACAATTTATACAGTTTAAAACAAAAAAACAATAGTGACAATGTTCACTAAGCAGAACTGTGTCTTAGTGAAAGCAAAAATGAGGTTCTTTTGATACTGACTTTTGACTGAACAGTTTCAAAGTTTATTTTATTTTTTTTAAGGCTCTTTGCTGCTCCAAACTCTGTGAAAAGCTGTTTTTCTGTGCACCTTTCCTCCTTGCCCAGCTGGAGCTGAGGGTCAGCCCAGCGAGACCCAGGCAGAAGTTGGCTGCTCTAAAGAGGATTTAATAACCAGGCAGGAGGAGGTGCATTGGCACGTGGTGGGGACTACACTTCCCGAGAGGCCCCGCTGTGGCCATGCCTCCCTTTGGTGGAAACCCAGGCTTTATCAAGAGCTGGAGGCACCAACGGCCAGCTCTCTCTGGGGACAAGCAGCCATGGGACTGAGGTGCGGGATGAGGACCACCAAGTGCCAGCTACTGGTGACCAGCTTCTGTGTCATGGTGAGCAGGCAGGTTTGGGAGGGATCTCTGTAGAATCGGGGTGAACTCCTGCCTTTTCCATCCCTGCTCGGGGAGAGTCGGGTTTTCCCACGTTGTTTTTCATGCGTGGAGGGAGAACAAGCCAAGGCAGCTGCCTGAGTTATCGTTGCACCCTGGGCGGTTATCGCTGGCCACCAGCATCACCCCCCTCTGCTGATAGACTTCTGGTTTCTCAGGGCTGTCACGCTGCTGCGGCTCTTTCACAACCCTGCAGCCACCTTGAAGGAGAAAGGGAAGGTCGCTGCCAGCAGAATGGGTGGGTTTCAGCACCGAGATATGTCTTCATATGGGTGGGTTTCAGCACCAGCTCCTGTCTCCTTGGAGCAAAAGAGGGAGGATGGAGCTGCTGCAGTCATGCTTGTTGTGGGAGGGTGGTCGGCTGCAGGTGGGATCAGCGAGGGTAGGAAACCTCAAAGCTTCCATGGAATTGTATGTGAGAGACCTGTGGATCTGCAGAGCAAAAGGGGTTCTAGGGATCTTCTTTATCAGCTTTGGAAGCAAATTAAAGGAGAGCTTCTTTCCATCTGCTGTTAGAGCTGATGGGAAATGGTGGAAACTGGGGAACGCTTCTGCTGGATGTTTTGGAGTTCTATGTGCTTGTTGCTTTTTCACTTTGTCAAACCTTGCAAGCTTAAAAAAATAATAATAATAAAGTGTATTTAGTTCAGAGAGGGTTGGTGACTTGGAAAGAATGTAATTAAAAGGTGATGCCTTATTTTGGGCCACACATTAAATTTATTAATTTAATTTATAATTAAATTATAATTAATTAAATTTATAGTTTGTCCAAATGTCAACATTTCAGGACCACTGTGGCTGTACGTTGTTCTCTCTTCCAAATAGCAGAACATGTCACTTGGAGAAAATCAAAGGAGGATTGATAACAAAGTTTTTAGAGAGGATGGTAAGGCACAGCTGCTGTGGATGGCAGGAATCACGTTGTTGCTGTTGGGAGGATTTGGGAGTGGTGCTTCTCAGAAATCTGAGCTCACTGGTGTTGCACTTTGCATTTTGCTGGGTGTGGATTGAGATCTGCAGTAATGCATGGCCTGAAGGGTCAGCAGGTGCCACAAATTAGATATTTTTATAAGCAGAAATTCTACAGTTTGGGTGTATTTCGTCTCGGAAAAACTCTAATTCTCTAACAAAAGCTATTAGTCTGCTCTGGAAAAAGATGTCATGCAGTGGGGATTATGGTGACACCAGACTGTCACATTTGACACAGGGATAACTGCCTTGTGTTTCCATACTGGAAAGACACAAAATGCTGACCCAAATTTTGGGACCTAGGAGTGGCCTCAGATCTTGTATTTTCCAGGTTGATTACACTAGAGTTGGAGCTGGTTTTCGCTTGTCCTGCTGTTGGTGCCTCTGTCCCAGCTCTGCCACTGGTCATGCTGCAAGGAGCCCTGCTCAAGAGCCAGGTGCCATCAGAAATGTTCCCTCTCCATCACCTGAGCTTGCTCTGGGCATCACAGAGGGTACCATGCTGGTAGTCACCCTGTGCCTTGGGCATACCAGCGCTCTCAGGGATGGGACAGAAACACAGACAGCCTGGCAGCATGTTGCAGAGACAGAAACCAGCACAGTAGAGCAGTACAAGACTCAGCTGTTTGTGCTCTACCAGAAGAAATACAGCCAACAGCAGGCGGTGGGACTTGAAGCTGGCAGCCCTCATAACTGCACGTGTGTCATCTGCAGAGCAGGGTGGGACTGCATGGGTGTCCTGTAAGAGCATCAATCCTCTCAGCTTTCTTCACATGGAGGGAATTTCATCCACAGACACTGGCCAAGAGGCTGTGGGCTGTGCAGTGTCATGTGCACTCGTTATGCAAGAGAGAAAAAGAGCTTTAGTATGTTGAAGTGTCCAGAGTTTGTCCTTTTACGTGCATTTTGGGGTACATGCAGTGGTCTTTGGATGATCAAGCTATCTGCATCTGTGCAGGGCTCAGAAGTATCCAGATACACCTCAAAGTTTCACGTGTGCTCAGCAGGAGCTGCTGCCTTGTCAATCCCTTCCTAAAATCCTTCTTTTTCCAGCTGCTGGGGTTGTCCATCGCCGCGCTGAGCACAGTCACCCACTACGGGCTCCACTTCACCCTCATCAGTGACATCTCCCTGGAAAGCAATGCCTACAGGGTCATCCACCACACAGGTAGGTCATGGTCACGTCCCACTGAGACCTTTGGTGAACCCAGGAGCTGCAAAAACTCCCCAGAGCAGTGGAAGGAAGTGCAGAGGCATCGCAGGAAGAGGCAAGAGTTGGCTTTTGGAGGATGCACTGGGGCTAACACAGTCCTACAGATACTTTTTTCTCTCTCATACCCACACGCCCAGCACTGAAGGGTGCTCAGGTGCTTCCACGTTCACTCCTGTCCCTCTGTTCACCATCTCCCCATCCTTCCTCTGGGCAGCAGTGAAAGCTCAAGAGGAGCTCAGCCATAGATGGACCCAAAGGTGTGGTGGGGCTGGAAGGACCCTAGGAGTGTGGGCTGAGGGACTGTCACAGGAGTTGAAGCAGAACATAGAAAATTGAGGCTGGGAGGAGACATGCATGGAAACACCTGGTTTTGGAGAAAATATGTGTTTTTTCCCTA